TTGGGGTTGGAGCTAAACTCTGCAGGACACCGGCCCTCCAGGACCGAGTTTGGGCACCCCTGATTTAAACTGTCTGAGAAAGACGCAAAAATCATTACAAGCACCGACAGCGAGAGACTGTTTAGGACTGCATCGCATGTCTTCAATGAGAAGAGGAAGGGGTGATTGTTGCTGATTTACTGTATGATGATTGAAATCGCCAAATGGCCTTAAACAGTTAAGTTAGTAAATAAACTGTAAAATGTCATGTTTTCTAATACACGCGCGCATTGCATTCTGACAGCGCTGCACGAACTTGCAGCGGATCTGCTTGTTAACCAGGGTTCAAAGTCCAAAGCACGAGGAAAATCTGCGCTAAAACAGTGTTACTCGGCAGTTGCTCAGTCATATTTTTATGAATTTGTACAAGGCACGTGACAATGCGATACGTACGACGTATTTGTAATGAGACTCATTTATAAATCTGTTGTCAACAAAAATAAGCATTGAGGTCTTCCTGCGCGTTTCCGTCAGAATAAAAGTTGAGAAAAAGCAAGAATTCTTATCAACATTCATAAATGTTAGTATTGTAATTTTACTGTTGTTCTGTAAAATAAAATAAAAAGTAAGACAATAATAATTATAAACATTACAACAACTCTGTTTTAATAAATGTATTATAACATTCACACATAGTGTTCAAATTAGGATCTGTAATATTTTCTAATGTTTTAAAAGAAGTCTCTTCAGACTACAGCAAAAAAAAATTAATACATGCCTGATTCAAGAAGGGGGTCTGATGGCCAAAAATGACTATTTTACTAACTTATTAATTTTAAGTTAAATTGTGCTTTATTGGTATAGTGTCTGCTAGAATGTTAAAAATGTTCAGTGTTAAATATTTTTTTAATTGTTGTTTTGTAATTTAATTTTTTTCTTTGAAAAGCAAGACAAAACAGTAAAAAGCACATTTTGGCTTTTTAATGTATGTAAAGGTGAAAATTTTTTTTGGCAAAATACATGGGGAAAAAAACTCTGTGTACGGTATTCGGTATTCGGCCCAGTGTTTAATTTTGTTCGGTTTCAGCCAAGAATTTTCATTTCGGTGCATTCCTATTATTCTATAGTTCTGAAAAAAACACACACTCCTTTTTAAAGTTTACTTTGGTTCACATTTGTAGTTCTAGGTAAGTTTTCATTCTTTTGTAAACCCTTATTTTTATTGATATTTTTTAGCTAGTTTTGTCTACATAGGCCACGCCCTTGGGTCATGAATATTAACCTTACATTATATGATGTTCACCCGCACTGATTATTCATTCATTTAGCAGATGCTTTTATCCAAAGCGACTTACAAATGAGGACTACACCAAAGTAATTCATCCTAAGCAGGCAATAACACAAAGTGCTACCAATAAAAAGTTTCAAACATCATCTAGAAATCTGATTTGCTAAAAGGCGGAAGTTGGTAAATGCTAACCATGGTGGGATTACCATTTACCACTTGTACATTCGTTTAACCACAGCGACCGGATGACACAGGCTTCTGCTTGGAATCACTTAAACTGTGACCTCTTTAAAATATAATGAACGTCTTTCAATAAGCAAGGGATTTCTATGTCCCTGCGCTCACTACAGTTCAAAGGAAATGAATACTTTTACCAAGCAAAGATGCATTCAAGTGATCAAAACTTACAGTAGTCATTTTTAATGTTACAAAAAAATAAATGCTGTTCTTTTGAACTTTCAATACATCAAAAGATACTGGGAAAAAAGGTTTTCAATAAAATATTAAATATTAAAATTATTAGCCCAACTGCTTTCAACACTGATAATAAAAAAAAAATTCAAAAGCAAATCAAATCATCTTAGAAGATAAACCAGTATATTAGAATGATTTCTGAAGGATTATGTGACACTGAAGTCTGGAGTAATGATGCTGAAAAATTAAGGATTGCACCACAAGAATAAATTACATTATTAAAATATATTCAAATAGAAAACACTTATTTTAATTAGTAATAATATTTCAAAATATTAGTTTTTACTGTATTTTTGTTCAAATAAATGCAGCCTTGGTGAGCATTTCTTTCAAAATCATAAAAAAAAACTCAAACCGACCCCAAAATTTGTGCTTCCGCCCATGTCAGCGTGGAATTAGAAACTGTTTTGTGGGTTTTGATGGCTCAACAAAGACAAATAAAAAATAATCAACAGAAGTGCAGCGAAGACAACTTTGACTGATGTGGGGTGTGACTGCATCTTTGTAGGTCACACACTAGAAAGTCGTCTTCAGCTTGGGAAAATATTAATAACTCTCCTCCATGGATCTATTCTCAATGCTAACCTACATTCAGTGCAAAGTTCCTAAATTTCAAACGGAAGCTGATGAATAATTGGTCTGTGTCCTCTACCTGAAAATGATGCTCTGAAGGTCGAACGGGTATTCAATAATCCCAGTAGTCGGGATTCGAACCCTCAGAACATCCTGCTGGGTGGGAAGGTAGGAGGGCACGGCGATACGATCCAGATCAGATAGATAGCTACAGAAAGAGATGAAAACATCATTAACCCCTTTATATATCACAGGCTGGAGGTTTGGTAAAGAATGTTTCCAGCAGAATTCTCGAGAGTCAGACGTCGTCTCCCGTCCGCAGATCTCAGAGGATGCTCATTATGCTGTCTTGTGAGACAATCTGAAAAAACACAAAGGCTAAATAGGGAAGACAAATGTTCTGTGTGTCTGATCAAACTAAGGTAGGCCTATCTTATTTTCAGAATGCACAATGCATACTCTCTATTATTTCTGAAATAGTATGCTGTAAGTAAGGATAAATCTCTTTATTGTCTTATTTGAATTGAATGTCGAATGAGAAGGAAAACACCATGAAAACTACCAACAACTTATCCAGAATCAATAGAAATGAGAAATGATATTCTGGATAAAGAATATTAAGATGCTTTTGCATTGTGACATTACTTTCATGCAATTAAACCCTGTAAAATTAAAAATCTTCCTAGAATAAAGAAATGAATGTTAGTGATTTTTTTTACGTTACATTTTTATTGCACAAACAAAACAACATAATTATTCCTCAATTGCATCTGCTGAATTTAACATGCGACATGCATACTGTACATTGCATACTATGTTTAATAGCATGCAAAGCAGTAGTCTGGCTACAATGTTGTCACATGACCTCATTATGTTGCATTTTTAATTTAGCAAATGCTGTCAAAATCTGAAAAATGAATACTTTAAATGAGATGTGTCCATATGCATCCCTGACCGTTGTTTTACCAATTAAACTACAATATATTCCGCAGTCATCAACCAAATCAATAAGCAAATGCTTTTGTAGAACATCCCATCTTCTCATATGTAGTGCTGAATTCATTTCAATACCTTTAGATTTTGTAGCAAGATATTTAGTAAAATTCTGTAGCTTGTCACTGCTGTCGACACAGATTAATTATACATTTATATAAATAGTTAATTTATTAAATAGATTATACATTTCTAATTGTATTAGTTGAATTTGTGTCAATATGTTCACCCAGATACTCCTACTGTACCGACGTGACCTGTATTACCCCAACAAACCAGCAGGGGGTGTGATTCACATGATGCCAATGATTCTTGAACCGACTCCAGGCTTCATACATCTGTGTGTATTAATGCGGCGAAATTCGCACTGCCTTTATATTATATTGGTCCAGTAAAAGAAATAGGACAAGATTGACTGCCGCCAAACTCTTCAATGAGATCATCAGAGAGACATGGACACAAACCCACTGACAAAAAGAAAACTTTGAAACAATAAAACACAGTCTTTGAGACATGAACTGATTTGTATGTGTTGCACAAGCTAAAAGGCGTGTTCTTTTTAAACAGAAATGGATTTTTCCCCCTTCATTTTCCAGATTTAATAACATCTTGGGTATTGGTTAGCATGAAAGAAATAGTATATCCAAAAATGACAATTCGTTTACTTGCCCTCCTGTCGTTTCATATCTGTATGACTTTTCTTTCTTTCGTGGAACAGCGGAGGAGAATTTTTTAAGAATTGTATTTGTCCTTTACAATGAATAGGAACACGAGCTTTCACGCTCTAAACAGGACACAACTGCATCATAAAATTAGTCTATATGACTCATGTGCTATATTGTAAATCTTCTGAAGTCACATGATAGCGTTGTGTGAGTTATTCACTGAAAATTGTTCTCGTTCAGAGTTAATGAGAAATAGCGTTGTGCGATTGAGTATTTTTTCAAAGAATCAGTTGATTCACCTTGCAAATTCAGTCTGAATTTGAGTGATTACAAGCTCAAATTTCAGTCCGTTCCCCACACACAGCTATCAGACGACTAGAGTACAAGAGTCAAATCAAACGTTTGCAAGCCGGAAAGCCTCAGTTCTCATTCGTTGTAATTGCATGGGGGGAAAAAAAATCCCCTTTAGTGTTCCACAAAAAGAAATAAAGTCATACGGGTTTGGAATGACGCGAGGATGAGTTAACAATAAAAAAAAATTCCAGAAATGTTTTACAATGAAATAACATGCAACATTTATCATTCACAATATCACCAGGAACACATATTAGGAAAGTAAATGGGGTCATTTCATGTAGATTGTAAGCATGCACAACAGTGTGAATATACAGTATATATATATATATATATAAAATTGTTAGAGAATTTGACTGTTTAAAAACACTATAAATAATCATACTCTATTCAATAAAAAGATGATAGATTTACTCACTATTTCGTGGAGTCTGACAGCTGGTACTCTCGGCGTCTGTCGTAGGCCTCTTGAATGCCTGGATCTGTCCACAGCATCTTAATGGCACTAATGTAGGGCTGGTCGAATGACGACACCTTCTCAATGTCCACCTCCTTCACCAGCATGGCGTTTGCCTGCAGCCCAGAGCAGATGAACAGTTTAAGACAAAAGCAATGGAGGAAACTATTGATAATATACAGCAGTGCAGATGTGCAATACTCAATCTAACCTATTTTAAACATGCTCTGATCCTTCTGTATTTATTACAGAGCTTCTCTTATGCGTGATGTCTCATTAATAGTGAGACCACATGGAATATTTGTACTTTTTTCATTTGCCACACCAAAGCAAAATTATGAATGGTGAAAACCAATTCATGGTTAAAATGATTGGTTAGAAGCAATGGCAACCAGTTACAGCAGCTAAAATGTAGACATCATTTTAGACTTTTTAAAAATGTAGATGAGTTTGTTTCTTCATCAGAACAGATTTGAAGGAATGTAGCATTGCATCACTTGCTCACCAATGGATGCTCTGCAGTGAATGGGTGCCGTCAGAATGAGAGTCCAAACAGCTGATAAAAACATCACAATAATCCACACCACTCCAGTCCATCAGGCCATCACTTCACAATCTTGTGAAGAAAAAAGTTGCGTGTCCGTAAGAAACAAGTTCATCAAGACGTTTTTAACTTCGGATTGTTGCTTCCAGCTAAAAACTGAGTCCAAAAACACTTCCTCCAGTAAAAAAGTCCATCCCCTGTTGTCCTCTCACATCAAATTAATGATGGATGTGTTTCTTACAAACACGCAGCTTTTGGATTCACAAGTCATTAACTGATGCACTGGAGTGGTGTGGATTATTGTGATGTTTTTATCAGCTGTTTGGACTCTCCTTCTGACGGCACCCATTCACTGCAGAGCATCCATTGCTGAGCAAGTGATGGAATGCTAAATTTTTTTAAATTACCTATCAGGCTTCAACTTCCTTTATGATTCCTTTTGATTTAGGTGTGAAACATGACCTAGACATGTTTTCATCAGTTTCACCATGTCTAACTTAAAATACTCAACATGAATCATTCTCACCTTGTTCTGCTCGTACTTGAAGCCAATTTTCAGGTTTTCAGTGGCGCGGATCATGGACTGCATGGAGGTGAAGATGTTCTGGTACACCAGTTTGGTGAATCCGCGTTTGTCCTCGTCTGTGTATCCGGTGCCATGGATGATACGCATCTGTTTGATGAACGTACTCTTGCCGCTCTCACCCGTACCTAGAGCAGAGGGAAGGGTCAGAGGTCAGGTTTATGTTCAAACTCTTGATCTACGATCAAGACCATCGGTACAGCATCCTTCATTTATGATCATCTGTTCACATGTGTGGTTTGGTCACAGTGTGGGAGCAAATCAGGACACTTGGAAATGATTTAATTAAACAACAACAAAAACTCTAAATCATTCAATTGAGGGAAAAGAGCCACTTCTAATTAATGAGAGCAAATACGTGCCTGTGCGATGTTAGCTGCTGATCCATTTTCAGACAGAAAAACGGCATGGCTCACTTCAGTTTAAGTTTATGGGATTTGTTTTAATTGTTTTATTTGTGACCAGCACACTTAGTTTGTTTTGTGCTCTCTTTGGTTAAATCAGCATTTCCCAAATGGGTGTCTGCGAACCCTTGGGGGTTCGTACAGGAACTGGATGGGGCAACACAATAAATCAAAATGAAATGGAAATCACAATATAAGTATATAACTTAATATAAGTGTCTCAATTCACAGTAAATGCTTCATCTTTGTATGCAACATGAGTTTAACATGCATTTTAGGAATCCAATGTGAATTAGGTTCACTTTATTTACACATTTCCATAATCTCCAACATTTCTGTGGACAGAAATGTACTGAATTTGACCAATATTCAGCCAAAATAAAAGCATGAAGGTTTGAATGACTGAAAATGAAGAATTTAAGACATAAATATTGGTAAATTTTAGTGTCAATTAATTGTTTATAATTATCAAATTTATTTGATTATTTTACAGTTCAACTGTAATTTACAACAGTAATATATTTATGTCTTCATTTTAAGTTAAACCTGATAATAATAAAGAGAGTTTATTGGTTGAGAGTTGGTGTCAGCAGCAGCAATATGTGTTTTTTCATTCAATTTTAATAATCAACAAAATAACTGCAATATAATTTTTTTCATGTGCAGCAAGCAACACTAAATAATTTTCAAATAAAAACAATCAAAAAAAAAAAAAGGATTAAATATTTAAAGGAACCCTCCAGTATTTTTGAAAATAGGCTCATTTTCCAACTCCCCTAGAGTTAAACAGTTGAGTTTTACCGTTTTCAAATCCATTCAGCCGATCTCCGGGTCTGGCGGTAGCACTTTTAGCTGTAGCTTAGCATAGATCATTGAATCTGATTAGACCGTTAGCATCTCGCTCAAAAATGACCAAAGAGTTTCTATATTTTTCCTATTTAAAACTTGCCTCTTCTGTAGTTACATCGTGTACTAAGACTGACGGAAAATGAAAAGTTGTGATTTTCTAGGCCGATATGGCTAGGAACTATACTCTCATTCCGGCGTAATAATCAAGGAACTTTGCTGCTGTACCATGGGTGCAGCAGGCGCAATAATATTACGCAGCGCCTGAAAATAGTCCCCAGCACGCTCCCTGTGCAAGCAGGTGGTCACGTTGGTTATGTTAGCTTATTTTCAGGCGCTGCGTAATATCATCAGTCAACATGAAATGATGCTCACATTTTAATTCTGCAACATTTCTAAATGCAAAAGGGTATTCAATGAGAAAAGAGGCAGGAAGTCCTTTAAAATAGCATGAATCACTTAAAAAAGCACAATAAACAAAACATGTATGAAGAAGGTAGACAGAGTCAATTTTAATTTCAAGTTGACTGCTCCTATCTACTCTTAAAAATAAAGGTTCTTTACTGGCATCTATGGTTCCATAAGGTACCTTCAATGTCCAAAAAACCTTTTCATTCCACAAAAGGTTCTTTATAGAGAAAAAAGGTTGTTTAGATTTTTTAAATGTTTTTCACACTAAGAAAAAAAATGAGAGCATGCCTAACCAACAGGTGGCGATATAATCTCAACCGTAAAGCCATGTTGGCCAATCAAAAGCCAATTTTTGTTGGCCAATTTTTATTTTTTTAAAATAACCTATAAGATAAGCCTAAGGCCCTGTCCACACGAACGTAAGGCTGGACGATATGGCCAAAATTGATGGCCGTTCGTCCACACGTAAATGCAGCACCAGGACACTGAAACCGAACATTTTTGAAAACGCCTGCCAGGGTGAAGATTTTCAAAAACTCCGGTTGCAGTGTCATCGTGTAGACAACGAAACCAGAGTTTTTGGCTTGTGACGTCGGAGCCTGCGCTGTTATCTCCGCCTACTGGAGACTTTTTCAGGCTTCTGATTGGCCAACATGGCTTTACGGTTGAGATTATATCGCCACCTGTTGGTTAGGCATGCTCTTGACAGTGCTTCATAGCATGCGTTTGTGTTTTCATGTGGACGGAGATTTTTTTAAAAACGGAAGAAGGAAAAACTGTGTTTATAAAAATACCCGTGTACGTGTGGACATGGCCTAAGACGTGATGCATTAGACAACTGAAGTGGCAACACCCAAGGTTTAACCAAGAAAGAAGATAAAAGTGTACATTGCTGTTCCAAAGCAAAATGAAGAGTTCAACCCAAGCTGGTTTTTAATGGGTCAGTGCTGATTATGTTATGACAAGGCTGAATCTCTGGAGAGTCAATGAGCTTCATATCAAGCAGGTCAAACTGTGTTTCCTTCCCATGCTAAACAGATGCAAATCCAACTGCATCAAATTATAGTATCTGTGCATCGAACAAAACTCATATGCAACCCGCAAAACAAGCATCATGGCCTAATTGTTTTATGTTTCAACCGAGCAACACGCCACGATGTTTCTAATTGCATCTTTGCACAAAAGCAGAAAAGATGGTTTTGTTGCTCGCACAACCAGGAAATGTCCTGAAAGCATGTGAAAAGGGGATTTTCCCGATCACAAAAAAACATCTCATCCAAATATAGGGATGCATTAATGCCAAGAGACTCCTGGCTTATTATAGGATGTCCATCAAAACAAACCCCAAAGCCTATTTGGGGAAGAGATAGATGAGATTGGGCTCTAATGACCCATGATTCATTTCAGGTAGCAGGGAATTTTCTAGAAATGTCTGATGTTGAATAGATCTGTTGTAGCTCTCAAAAGTATCTAATGAGTATGTGACTCACTCTCATCTCTGAACATCTCAGCAATGTCCAACAACCCCCAAAAGACAGAAAAATAAATCCAAACTTGTTTCTCCAAGACAGTAATGAGATTAAATGGAGACTTTTGCTGAAGTCTCCTGCTTCTAAGATGTTTAACCTGTGAAAAGAGACCCCAGTAATCTTACGTGTCTCCTCTAGAGTTTCAGAAGAGATCTTAACAATGTCTCAAACTGTGCTCAGATCTGCCAAAATACCAAGGTCTGCAATCAAAAGTCAGAGATCTCAATAAGATTAGCATTCCTCATCAAAGCTTCTATCTACATTATTACAAGTCAATAATTGTCTCATTCAGTTAGATTCCATTACTGAGATCCATTAAATCTCAAGAGAAATCAAAACAATGGGTAAAGATAAAGGGCAATTCCTCACTCCGCACACACCTTTAACCCAAACAGACTCATGTTTCACAATGCTTTCAATGAAATGGGAAATCTTAAAAAAGACAAACATCCGGCATTGTTGCACAAACTCTTCTATACCTCTATGAATGTGTGAATGAAAGTTTGATAACAAATATTTGCAATGCTTTAAAGGAAAAACAATCTGCATTCATAGTTCAAAGTGCCAGTCATGTGGTTGCTATAGTAACAATGCCTCCCCTTTGTATGCTATAGTATAGTTAGTTTGGTATAGTTCAGTTTCGGTCACAGAAATGCTACACGCACCAGCATCTCTCGGTGCTGGATCTCTCGGGAATGAGTTGCTACAGTAGGAAGAATCTGAAAAAACACTTGCTGCAGTATAATGTGAAATTTGGCACATCACATTTACGTTTTTTAGTCAATCAGTTGGCTACCTGCCTGAAAAAAGTTCTTGCAGTATATCTGAGCCACTCCTTTGGCAATCTATCAATCGCTAGATTTTCGGGAACAATACAAATGAGTGCTTAGTGCTGATCCCAAACTTCATTTTAATATAGCATGAATAAAACTAGTAGACACCATATTTGACAGAAAAAAAAACAAAAACAAAACTTCCCTTGTAATGACAAGCGTTTCTAAACCTGTTGTAGAACAAAACAGAACATGTTTTTACTCCACAACATCAGTCCAGTGTTTGAAATGACTTCCGTTTGTGATCTAAGGTGGATTCTTATAACAGAATGAAGCTGAAAATATATTCTATACTGTAATAAAGGCTACGTCGATTAGCAATGGATTATAAATGTACATAAATATTATGAAAATAGCCGAGATGGCTTGAAGAACACAGATAAACTATAGATTGTCGCAGTTGAGTCTTTATTGTCTTTATGTTTCATCATTCAAAACGCATCTTCTTTTTATTCAGTGATAGCTGGATGCCTTTGTTCATATTAGGGATTTCCTGGAGTGTCATCAGTTCTATTACTTCTGTGATGCACACGTGGAGTTTCTGCGTAAGGGTGCCTTCTGGCTTCCAGTATGAATGAAACAGACATTACATGTGTTTATAGCACTCAATAATGGCCAATCCACCCTATTTTGCATAAAAATAGGAAAAAATAATACTTCTCAGTAGACAGACATTTTTTGGTAATGTGTTTAAAAAATCCCATTTTAAATTGCAAAAAAACACTATGATGTGCCAAGCTATGGGAACCCAACTGAATTGAACCGAAAACCATGGTAAAAAAAAACATGATAGAGAGATAGATAGATAGGCTTTGATCAGTGGCTTTCTGTCACAGACTAATCGTTGACTTAAAGCGTGGCGATTTTAGACGTGACCTCAGGCCAGTATGACACTGAACGGCCTGTACTTCTGTCTCTCGCAGCGCTGCTTTCATTCACATCAAATTAAATATGCCGTTTCCTCCGACTGAGCTCTAAACGCACTCATTCATTCATGAAGCAAGTGGATCCTCCTCCAAACCCTTTCCAGACGAGCAGAGGAAAAGAAACAGAATAATTTAAAACGTCTGATTTATTTCTCGTGACCCTGTCACAAGATTACAAC